GAAGAGATTACAGTTCATTAATTTGCATACAGATATATAGTTGTTTCACTACCACTTCATTAAAGGCTATTCTGTCCCCACAGAACTACGTTAGCACCTTTAGTGAAAACCAGTCAGCCTTAGTGGGTCTCTATTTCGTCCCACTGACCTGCACGCCCCACTACAAGGCATGGCACTTCTGGAGTCCCTCGGGAATGTCCTGGGCTCTCTAGTCTACTCCAACTGGTTGACACTCTAGTATCTCCCAGCCCCAGAGGGAACTCTATAGCCTTTTCAGTAATTTACTGAGTTTACGCACATTCTGGCGATCCTTTTGCCTGGCTTCGCAGAATTTCACACCATACCCAGGCAGCTCATTCAGCTCAAGACCAGGACAGAGCTGCGGTATTCTTCCTCTGATACTCTGCCCCTCAAATGAGCTGCGTCAGCTTCTCTAAATTTTGTTTCCTCAGCTCACAAGACTGTCGGACTCTGCTTGGGCTCTTCCTCCCCACGCTGTGGGCCAGAAAGTGCTCCAAGCGGTGAGACTGTGTGACCAGGCCTCTCCTCCCTGGAAGCACAGTGCTGCGCTGCTGTCCAGCTGTCTCAGCTCTTTCAGACTGCCATGACAAACGCCACACACTGGGTCGCTTATAAACAGCAGCAATTTATTGCTCACACATGTGGAGGCTGGAAGTCCAAGTTCAGGGGGCCAGCATGCCTGGGTGAGGGCCCTCTTCTGGGCCAAAGACTTATTGCTATACCCCCACATAGCAGAAAAAGCAAGGGATGTCTCCAGGGCGTTTTATAAGGGCACTAATCCCATTCATAAGGATTCCTCCCTCATAACCTAATCACCTCCCAAAGGCCCTACCTCCTAATATTAACATCACTGGGGTTAGGGATTAAACACAGGAATTTTGGAAGGACACAGACATTCAGTCCACGGCACCGATGTTTCAACAGGGCAGTTTTGTGTGTTTTGTTCCTAATTGCTCATGGTAGGAATATAATCTGGCCTCAGTTATTCCATCACAGTCTGAAGTGGAAAAATGCCTAATCCTGTTTATCTGGAAGCTGATGCCCGCTAGACCTTGTAGTTACTGTGTTTTTAAAAACATAGTTAAATTCTTTTTTGCCTGCCTTTGTCTTCCATTTCTGTGAGATCTACGTGCTACACACTCCTTTTCAAAAACTGCTCTGGCTATTTCTGCATGTGTATTGTTCCATGTGGTCATCGGGTTTACGGAACCGGTTTTCCCCAGAGCTGCCCTAACATTTGATGGGGATGGAATTAAATATATGTATTAACTGGAGGAAACTGGCGTCCTGCAGACCGGCGGTCCCCAACCCTTTCGGCACCAGGAACCAGTTTCATAGAGGACAATTTCTCCACAGACCAGGGCAGTCGTTGGGGAGATGGTCTGAGGATGATTCAAGCGCATCATGTTCAAGCTCACCTCCCACTGTGTGGCCCGGTTCCTAACCGGCCCCGCCTCAGACTGGTCCTTGGCCTGCGGCCCAGAGGTCGGGAGCCCTGCTCCTCAGCGCTGGCCCTTCCCATCTCTCCTGTCCAAGTATAAAGTATATCTCTTTGTTTATTAAAGTCTTCTTTCATGCACTTCAGTATCAGTTTTCTTTAAATGAGTTCCAGATATCTATTTATTCCTCAACATTTTATGTTTAGTCCATTTTCTAAAAGGGATCTTATTCTCCATGATCTACTCTAATTAAAGTCCTTACAAGAGGAAGCTGGATATTTTTGGTGTTAATTTTGTACCTGCCAAACTTTTATTAGTTCTGATGGGTTTTCATGGACTCCCCTGATAGGCCCAAGTAGAGAATCACATTATTTACAAATAATAATTTGGTCTCCTTTATAATATTTTTTCATCAACTTGCCTGACTGCAGAAAAATATTTATAATAGTAATGGTGGTGCCTACACTTACTGCCTTTCCAATTTTAAGGAAAATACTCTAGTTCTTCATCATTAGTCAGGATTTGACTATTGGTTTGTAACAGTTCTTTTTAAAAAAAAGATTTTATTTATTTATTTTTAGACAGGGGGTAGGGAGAGAGAGAGAGGGAGAGAAACATCAATGTGTGGTTGCCTCCTGCACATCCCCCCACTGGGGACCTGGCCTGCAACCCAGGCATGTGCCCTGACTGGGAATTGAACTGGCAACCCTTTGGTTAACAGGCCAGCACCCAATCCACTGAGCCAGACCAGCCAGGGCACGTAACACTTATTTTTTATAATGTTAAGGAAGTATACACCTGTATTTATATTATTAAAAGTCTTCCTAAAAAGGCAGGAGGAAAATCAAGACAAAAAAGAAAAAGATTTTTTATCAGGAATGGATATAGAATTTTATAAAATCCCATTTCCTGAAGTATTTTATTCCTACTAACATATATGTTATATGTCATATTAGTAGGGAGCTGTATTATATTATACTGAATTATGTTTGTATATCTAAATCCTACTTAGTAACCAGAATTTTTATATATAGTTGCATTTTGTATATTTATTACTATTTTATTTATGATTTTACATCTATACTAGTAAGTATTATTGTAGTTTAATTTTTTGGTATCTTTGTCAGAAACAGAATTATCTTGATTTTATAAAATATATTCCTTTTTAGCCCTGGCTGGTGTAGCTCAGTAGATTGAGCATGGGCCTGCCAACCAAACAATTGCAGTTCGATTCCCAGTCAGGGCACATGTCTGGGTTGCAGGCCAGTTCCCAGCAGGGGATGCACGAGAGACAACCACACATTGATATTTCTCTCCCTCTCTCCTTCCCTTCCCCTCTAAAGATAAATAAATAAAAATCTTTAAATATATATATATATTCCCTTTTTGTATTATTCCTATAATAAATAGTTTTATAAATAAAGCCTGAAAAATTATTAGTAACTCCTCAAATGCCCACCACTTTTTATTTTTGGCCAAGTACTTTTAAAGTTTATTTTCAATTATAGTTGATACACAATATTATATGAGTTTCTGGTGTACAACAAATACCCACAACTTTTTACACATTTATCTTTTTCTTCAGATTCTGGAGCTCTGATTATAAAATTCTGACAGGTCATTTTTTTTCAACCCACCCTACATTTTAGAATATAGACATTATAGATATATCCCTGAAAAGTTGCTTATAAAATTAAAATCTTTCAAATATACAGTCTCCAAAACTCCCTTTGTAAATTTAGAAGATTATTTCAGATACTAGTGGCTTTTCTTTGTTCCTGGAATTCTCTTTCCCCAGATGTTTCTATTGCCCAATTCCTTACTCTATTTAGGTCTAAACTAAAACAGCACCTCTTCAGAGAAGCCTTCCCTGTCCACTTGAATTAAAATACCCCCACCACCTCTCCATCCATCTCTAGCCTTGTTTTATTTTTCACAGCCCTTCTGAAACAGTTTACCCCGAGTGCCTACAAAGGTACCTGACATAAGGTAAGTGGCCAGTTAACATTTGATGAGGACAAAGTTACCCAAGAATAGTTTACCCCAGTCTGGTGCCACACTAGTCTTTAGTCAACAATGACTTAATTTATCAGATTCTTTCTCCTATAATAATCAGTTCTCCCAGCCAAGAACACCCAGGGTCCCATGTAAAGGCAGAAAAATACTAGTCTTCCGGAAATAAACTGCTGTACTCTTTTCCCACATCGATGGTACCCAATCAGCACAAGGTAAATATATTCTGCCTATTCTCCCTGGCAGCCCCCTTCATAGGGTTAAATACCAACAGAGTATTTAACTATAGTGCAAAGAGAAAGCTCTTGAAGAAGCAACGAATGGTTTGGGTGACATGGATGGAAGTCCTCCAAGTCCCTGGCCTCTCTGGTGAGTCACACCTAGAAGTGATCATACTGAAAGCAAATCTTCAAGGAATAAGTACACTCTGGTTGCTTAATGGCTTCTTGTACGGACTCTGAACCAGCTTTAGATTCCAACAGGACAGGAACGTTTGCGTTAGCAAGCACTGAGAACAAACGACAAGCAAGTAGCCTTTGCTTTATCTCCTTCCCACCGAATCTGCCCCTAGCTATGCGGAAGACAGAACAGACACCAAGCAAGCAAGAGAGAGAATCTAGACTCCAGAGCACTCGCCCAGCGTCCCAAGTCCTGTCCTGTTTCCCAGTCCTGTCTCTGTGCTGCTCTGCCGGCACTCGGGGCCAGCAGCAGCATCATCCTTTCACAGAGCAGAGGGAGAACAGATTTTCTAAACGCAGTCAACTCTCCATTTCCCCGACTCACCACTGATCAGGTATCTGTCCATTAGTGTGACAGCATTAGTATACTGTAATTTAGCTCTTTCCCCACTGTTCAGTCTTTATTGAACGGTGGGAGCAGAAGCCAGGCCCCGGAAGTCCATATATCTCTGGTACTGTTATCTTTCTACTCCCATCTCTTGTTCTTTCATGTTATCAGTAACAAGAAAATAACCAAAAATGCTAATAATGTAAGAAATTCTACATGTATAAAATTTCAAAACCTGAATTTATTTTCGGATTTACAAATTACCTAAATTTTTAAACACACACAATTAAAATGAAATGGAACCCCCACCCCAAATTAGATGTAACAAAATAACAAAAAAAAACTAAATAAGACTGTAACCAAAGGAGATATGAAATTCTAATTTAAGATGAGTTTAATTTAGGTACAGTATATAACTAAACCCTCTGTAATCCAAAACAATAAATTTTACCTGAAATTAAATCACGTTCTCAACTAACACTACAGCATTCCTTCTTTCCATTTTCTCCTCCCAGTTCACTCCAATGCATCCATGTTCCAACAACTCCAGTGAGCCTGGTACACGCCCTCCAACTTTGAGCACGCAAACTACATGAGGACGCATGACGTGTACACGTACAGTTTCGTGCATTATACACTTCTATTCTCAAATACTTGTTTCCCATCAATTTCAAGACCATTTCATGCATTTGGACTCTAGGGGAAAAAAACGATAATGTAGGAATACATTGGATGCCTGACCTCTTGATTCTCTACTCCAGGGCTGCAAAGCTCCGAAACAGAACCTCCGCTGTCAACCACTGCTGATGTCATCGTTTACTCCCTGAGGAAGCTTGAAATGCTACTAATCAGTGCAAGTAACACTTCATGGATGATTGCCAGTATTTCAGGTTCGCATTATCATGTCTTAAAAGTCAATACAGGAGTGAAGTAGATATCCAGAAATCCAGTCTTCTAAAGATGATTAACCAGAGAGCCTAAAAAGAGGGAGAATTTGAAAAGTTATTAAAAATATATAGGAAAGGTATAAAGTACAATCTATTCTACAATCTAATGGTTAACATCTTGTGTAAACTAAAAAAAAAAAAAAAATTGAGAGAGAGAGGCTTATACAGCCCTGGGTCAAAAGAGGGCAGTAATGAGCATTCTACTTCTTAGTACTGTCAAGTTCATGAACATAATGAAACTAAGTTCTTACTAAGCTACTGCACATTCGTGAAACTATGATATTTACATTCAAAGAAGTAAAATGTTATAATTATTTTTATGAAGATGTGCTTTTATTCCTGAAATATTTTCATAGCAAATCTTAAAATCTTTTATGCATATAAAAACATAAGATGTGCTAGACAGAGCCAACTTTTAAAATTATCTTCCTATATCACAAATTAAAAGACTTGTTGGTTTGTAAATATTTTACTCTTCTTCCTTGGCTCATTTAGGTTATATATTTGGATAATTACGGTCTTTTGCTATGGCAGCAATCTCACGTGTATCCACATTTTGAATACTCTACCAGAACCATAAAACAGACTAATTTCAGTTGCTTATATTTTCTTTTTTTTCTTAAAGATTTTATTTATTTACCTTTAGAGGGGAAAGGAAGGAGAGAGGGAGAGAAATATCAGTGTATGGTTGCCTCCTGTGCGTTGCCTGCTAAGAACTGGCCTGCAACCCAGGCATGTGCCCTGACTGGGAATCAAACCGTGATCCTTTGGCTCACAGGCCCATGCTCAATTCACTGAGCTACACCAGCCAGGGCAAGTTGCTTATATTTTCAAATAGAGTAGTTTAGAAATAAAGTAGTAAAATCATTTGGAATGCCTTTAATATTATTTTATCATTCTATCCTCAATATTTTTGTTGCTATTGGTTCAACAGGCAATATAGCAAATGGTTTCAAGTAAACATAATTCAGTTTTCCTCCAGTAGAGAGAAATGTCAATATATGTATCATCTATACTTACACAATAGATTATTCCTAAAAAAGTTACACTGTTTTTGATTTTGTATATGTTAAATTTTTCATAGAGAAATTAGAGATTTATTTCTAATGGGGCTTTTTCATATAAAAAAGAATGCAAAAAATTTTTAAGTATGAAGAGAAAATACATATCTAATAAATAAATTCATTAATACTATGTCCACTATGAAGTTTAACTACTGGTACCATACAGATATAAATAAAATAATAGAGAATTTCCATAAACTCCTACAATAAAAAGAAATACCTGAAAATAAAAGGCAGAAGTTTCACCTCACAACCTAAGACCGTTCAGCACTATTAATCTCCTTTCTGATCTTATCAAAAGAAAATGGAGGATTTGTATCTTAAGAGTAAAAATTAACAAAAATCCACAATCCCACACACTGAAGCTCACCATTATCATATAAGGTAATGACAATTTTCAGTTTCTATTTTCTAAACATACAGATAATAGAAGAAATAAATTTTACTTACAATTTTAATGTTAAGTAGTCTAAGCATCCTTCACTATTTTCATAACTTGTCAAGAGCTAAAATATAAACCAGCAGTTCTCTGGAACTAGTAGTGGGGGGAAAAAGACAGTATTAATATAATTCTTTTAAAAATATTTTTGCCCAAAATAGGTTTGATTCAGACACTATGTACTTATTCCAAACCATCTCCAAATCCTGATGACACACATTATATAATAGGTATAATAATAAATTATTTTAGGCTATTGAGGAATCAGAAGCTTTTATGAAACTTCAGATGCAAGTCACCACTCATTAACAATTACTAAGTAAGGACAGATTCAACACACATAACCTATGTCTCATATTAGGGTTTATATTTCAAATGGCTGCAGGTATAACCACTGATCCATAGGAAAATAAAATCAAGTTTTTAAAAATTAATCCAAAAAACTACTGTCAAGCAGTGCTGACATATTACTGCCTACGAAGTCACCTTCCTGCCCCCGAGCCTCTTCAAAAGCCTTCCTCCTTCCAAGGTTAACCCACTGACCTACGCACTGGAGCTCCAGCCTCGCCCGACCAGTTATGTCCTCTTCTTCCTTTGTTAACAGCGGGTCCTTTCCTCAACATCTAAACATTTACAAGACCCTCTCATCTTCAACATGCCAAAGTCCCCCTCCGTGACCCTATGTACCCCTCCTCCACTGCCCCTCTAGTTCCTTTCTCAGATAATGTTCTACAAGAAAAATCATGCACCCTTCACCACTCCGGCTGGCGCGCCTCAGGGAAACCCCCCCCAAAAAAAAAAAAATCTATACTCTGTCTCCACTTCCTAATTTCTCAGGTACTCCTCCTCCTATAGAAGTCTGTCATCCATCACTACCAGCAGAAATTTTTATTGAATTCTGGTTGCAACATCCAATGGATACATTTCTGTCTTCCCTGACACTGTTCCCCATGCCCTCCTTGAAACTCTAGCCTGAATTCCTGTCTCCCTCTCTAGCTCCTCCTTTTCAATTTCCTCTTACAGACCCACCCGTAATTCTCAAGGAGCTTGGAGCAAGACTACAAATGGAAGCCCACATACCTTATGCATAACACAGGGTCCGGCACAAATAACGCCCCCTTTTTATTAGAAAAGTTGAATTACGAAATCATAAGCATGTAATTCTGTAACATAACAATATCACACTCAAGCACACCATATGATATTTTAGGTAAAATGTTCAAATTAAAACTATAAATTATTATAGCCTTATTATTATCCTACCAACCACACCCAAGCAGGCCTTACTTCTGCCAGACCCGGTATTTTGAAGTTATATATCAAGCTAACAAGCTCTTAAATTCTTACTCTATCTTCCTGTCTTGACATACACATTTATAACAACCTAAAAGGCTACGTTCTGACTTGGACCTCTCGGCCTCCCTCAAGTTCTATGGGGGGCATGGGAGACTCAGACCCCTACCTGGCCTGCAGCCTGAACCTTTTCCCTCTTCCCAACTTCGGTTCCACTCCATACTACAAGGAGTCTCATATACAGTCACGTGGACATCCCAGGCTCTGTACACATGCCTGCAAACTGCTACCCTGTGGCCACCCCTTAGGCCTAGAGAAGCCCATACTTGTAGAATGGTCAAGAAAGAAGAGAATCAGAAAAGATGCCTGTCAAGCACCACGCAGGCAGGGGTTCAAATGCTCAGGACTTGACTCAGAAATGGGTACCAGATGGACTAGTTCCCTTGCCTGCTCCACCCTTCCGCCAAATTCTAATCTCACTGGGAGAGGTATAGCTGGAGGAAGGCCACACACGGAACCCTAAAGCACAAAGTCCACAGCAGGGTTCCCACCTGGCTAAGTCCAAGGACAGTACTGCTCTCCTGCCATGGAGGTACTTCCCGGATCCCACCCCTAGTCCTCTTCTGACTCCACACTCTCTGCGCTGCCTCACCTACTGCCATGGCTTCGCTCCAATCTCTCTCCCAGTCTAAACCACGTCATGGGCTTCATTAGTGTCTACTAGACACTTCCTGCCTCTACTTCACTATGAAATTGAAGAGGGTAAGAAGAGAGTATAATAAATCATAAGCATCTATTCCAGGATGTCCCAGGCACGCCATTAATTAGTCCAGTAAGGCAACAAATATTAACTGAGCACCTATTACACGCTAGCACAGTTTTGGATGCTAGAGGTACAGTAATGAATAAAGCGAAAGTCCTTGTCCTTATGGATCTTAAATTCCACTGGGAAGAGATGAAAATAAAGTATGTACAACACATATGTAGATGGTGATAAAGGTAAGGAGACCAATGAACCAAAGGGAGAGAATATTCGGCAGGGAAGAGGGTCGCAATTTCAAATTCAATGGCTAGAGAAAAAGTGACATATGACTAGAGAACCAAAAGTAGGAATAAGCCATGTCAGTAACTGGGGAAAGACTCTTCTTCAAAGGAAAGAGAAAACGCATGCTCTGCAACAGAGAATACACCTGACTAGTTCAAAGATCAACAAGGAGGCCAATTCGGCTGGAGTGAAGTGAGCAAACAGAAGAACAGAAGAGGATGACAGAGAGGCAGGGGCCGCGCAGGCCTCCTGCAAGGGCTCTGACTTTCACTCCAGGAGGAGGAGGGTTTCATATGCAGAAAGATGACCCGATTATTATGAGGCTCATTCAGAGGCTGGGCTGACAACAAGGGACCAGGGGATCAGCTAGGAAGCTCCGATAATAATTGGGTGAGAAACGATGATGGTGAGGACCAGAGTGGTAGGGTCTGGAGAGAATTAAAAATGGTCAATTTTTAGATGTATTTTGAAGATGAAATGGAAAGATCTGCTAGCAAATTGGATGTGGGGTGTGAGAGAATCCAAAGATAGGTCACCGCACCATTAAATGGAATGGGGAAAAGTATGGTAACAGAAGTCCAATATGTCCCAACCTAGACTCATTTCCCTTCTCCACTTGTGCTCAGTTACCCCAATGCCCACACAAGTCACCCACAACACCGAGATCCGAGACTCCTTTTCCTGGCGACACCTTCACACTCTCCCTGCTGACCCCTTCCCTACAATCTCACACCCTCTGTCTTCGTTCAAGTGCTTACTATCATTCCTCTGTATTGTTGTTAAGAGCCTCCGAATTTGTCTCTTTGCCTCTACTCCCACCCCACTGCCAGTCCATCAACTGCAGTGTCAGGGCGCCCTGAGACAAAGTAATGGCAGGCCCCTCCCAAGTCCTCAGTAGTTCCTCATCACCTGCAAGCATCCTGATTCGGCCGTAACAAACCTTAGAGGCCTGGGTCTATTTTCAGAAGTTATGAAGCATTCATTCTGCTATGAGGTTTGAGAATCAGGTATCTAAGCTATGCTCACTTGTGCAGCCTCACCTTCCTTTAGTTCCTCCATCTAATTTTTTTTAATTTTATTTTTTGATTTTGAGATAGAGAACACATGCAAGAAAGAGAAACATCAGTTTGCTGTTCCACTTATTTATGCATTCATTGGTTACTTCTTGTATCCTGAC